AATGGCCAAAATATCCACCATTGATGAATGATTATTTAAACTAAGGTGCATTCAGATAATAAAATGCCACTCAATAAAAGTTAATATACAGTGGGGTGCTCACGCTTAATCCCAGCACTTGAGAGGCAGAGGCAGGTGGATCTCTGCGTTCGGAGGCTAGCCCGGTCTACATAGCCAGTTCCAGGACAGCCAGGGGTGCACAGAGAAACCCTGTCTCGAAACACCCTGCCCACAAAAAAGACTCTGCCTTGATAGGTAAATATCTCAAATACAGGCTATGTGAAAGATGCTATATTCAAAAGGCTGCATGCTAGATAATTCCATTTAAAAACTATGGAAAAGGAAAACTAGAAGGAACAGGGTCAATGTTTGTTTGGAAATGGGGGTAAGAGCTGAATGAAAAAGCACAAAGTAACTTTCCAGTACGATGGAAATGTCTTTGTGATTATAAACCATATATATTCATCAAAATTAGTAAACTTCCATGTGATGGTATAGGCCTAGAATCCCAACACTCAGAAGGCCAAGGGAGGGTGATCTGCTTGAGGTAGCCTGGGATGTACAGCAGCAAAACCATGTTGAAAGGTAAGAACAAAGGGAAGAGAGGGAAGGAGGAAGAAAGAGAAGTAGAGAAATTAAGTCCCGGGATAGTACTATATGCCAAAAGTGGGCAAATTCGCTACATGTCAATTATGTATCAATAAAGGAGACTTGAAGACGACAGTGAGCTGACATTAAGCCAAGGCTTCTTGGGTACTAAGACATTATTTTTCTAATCCTGCATGGTATTTACTTAGTATATTAAGCACCAATCTTCTGGCAAACATCCCATCAGAAATTAGTATGGGGTAAAAGATGAACAAAATTAAGCACAGTTACGTAAGTTCTGGTTATAGCAGGAAAGCGTGTGCACAGATTATACCATGTAAGTGAGGGACAGAGAAGGCTATTAGCAAGCCACATATTTAGCTTAGATCTGAGGACCAGACAGCAAGTCAAGGTTTCCAAATGCGTCATGTATCTATCAACAGTCACTAACCACACAATACTCATCTGAAGCTATATTTGAATAATCTAGAATTAGCCAGGGTTCTCTAAAAAAAAAAGATACACACACACACACATACACACACATATATAAATACATATACATGAATATATACACACAGAGAGGATCTATTAGAGTGGCTTACAGGTTATGATCCAACTCTTCCAACAATGGCTGTCTCTGGTTGGAAAGTGTGAGAATCCAGTAGTTGTTCAGTCGACAAAGTTGGATGTCTCAGCTAGCCTTCAATATACACTGGAATCCCGGAAAAGTAAGCTCTAATACCAGTGAAGAAATGAACTTGCCAGTGATTTTAAGGGCAAGCAAACAGCAAAAGTCTCTTCCTTCTCTGTCCTTTATACAGGCTGCCACAAGAAGGTGGGGCCCAGATTAAAGGTGGGTCTTCCTGCCTCAAGAGATATGGCTTAAAGGTGGGTCTTCATACCTCAAATGATCTGATTAAAAATCTCACAGGTCTGCCCAGGTGCTTGGTTTTGTCGTTGTTTTGTTTTAATAAAATTCATTCATTCATTCATTTTACATCCCAGTCAGAATTTCTCCTCCCAGTCCCTCTCCCCGCCTATTCCCCCCCCCCATTCCTAACTCCCAATCCACTTCTGTTTCTGGTTCAGGAAAGGGCACGTCTCCCATGAGACAAAGCAAGGCATATCAAGTTGCAGTTAGACTAAGCACCTCCCCATGTATTAAGGCTGGGCAAGGTGAACCAGTATAAGGAGTATAGTTCCAAAAGCCAGTAAGAGTCACAGACAGCCCCTGTCCCCACTGTTAGGAGTCCCACAAGAGGACCGAGCTATACAACTGTGACATATAGGCAGAGAGCCTAGGTCTGTCCTATGCAGGCTCCCTGGTTTTCAGTTCAGTCTCTGTGAGTCCCTATGAGCCCAAGTTAGTTGATTCTGTGTGTTTTTCTTGTGGTGTCCTTGACCTCTCTGGATCCTACAATCCTTTCTACCCCCTCTCCTGCAGGATTCCTCAAATTCCACCTAATGTTTGGCTGTGGGTCTGCATCTGTTTCCATCAGTTGCTGGAAGAAGCCTCTCTGATAACCATTGGGCTAGGCTGAATCTGGTCACAGGAGATGGCCAGTTCAGGCTACATATTCACTATTTCTAGGAGTCTTAGCTAGGGTCATCCTTGTAGATTCCTGGGAGACTCCCTTGCACCAGGCTTTTACCTGACCCCAAAACTGCTTGGGTTTTAAGTTAGCTCCAGATATAGTCAAGTTTACAATTCAAGAATAGCCATCTCCTGCGGCATGGGCCCTTCTCAGGAAGAGTCTCTGTGAAGGAAGATCCTTAACCATACTGTAAACAGTACCCAGGAAATGCAAAGCAGTATTGGATCTTAGGTACCATTCGTAGTTCCTGCAACTACTGTTGGTAATTCAAGTAAAAATGATTACCAGATATCTGTGTTTCCCTAAAATGAGATTGTCTAGACATAACTAAACCCCATGATTTGCTGTTTTTCAAAGATTTATTGTGCTTCTTACTTCAGCTAAAATGGCCATGGTTTCTTTTTCACGCTTGTCCAAGGTTCTAAAGGAACATATATATGCTCAGACACCCTCCAAAGGTTAGACCCAGCTGGCTAAGCAAATCCTTTACACTCTAGAGACCAAGCACAGGGCACCTTCTTTACCTGACTTCAGATTCACTATTGTTTCTCTCCAAAACACAGACATGTGTCTTTAGCAAACAAATGGCCGAGGTTCTTCTTGCACCAGCCTTCAGGTGTTGGCAATATGGCAGGCCTCATCCCTTCATCTCCTCCCCCACCCCACCTTCACATCTTGCTTTAAATATACCTGGTTTGGCCGGCGGTGGTGGCGCATGTCTTTAACCCCAGCACTCGGGAGGCAGAAGCAGGCGGATCTCTATGAGTTCGAGACCAGCCTGGGCTACAGAGTGAGTTCCAGGACAGGCTCCAAAGCTACACAGAGAAACCCTGTCTCGAAACCACCCCCCCACCACCCCAAAAAAAGATATATATACCTGGTTTGGTAAGGACTCCCACACACCTATCTGGAGCCCCGACCCTCTCCTAGAACTCTTGACTTGAATATCGTGATTTATCATGTAAGTTTGCATTTTAACAGGCATCTCAAACTTCAAGTCTAAATGAGGCCTCTGGGCCCCTGGACACAAGCCAACTTTCATCTTTCTTAGGTGCTCCAAGGTAGATCAGGTGATCCAGGAAAGTAGGGCCAAAAATATAGCTGGCAGTATTAAATCTTTTTTTTTTAAAGATTTCAACCTCTTTTCCTTTTACCCAAAACCAAACAAAATACATCCTCACAGAAATGTTTTAAAACATATGCCCCAACGGTAACCATTTCTATCCTCTGGCCTAGATTTCCTCACCATTTTCTCTCTCCTGGACTAGCTGTGAAGCCATACCCCCTTGTCTCCTTAGAAAATATGCCCTCCACCTCACAACTCACCCAGTCCTCTTGATTACAATGCCTCTCACCACTACATGCTTACTCATGGCCTCCCATCACACTCACTATAAAAAGGGACCAGCTGACTTAAAACAAGATGGTGTGGGTGAGATCCCTGGCAATTCCTGAAGGCCCAGGTGCTGTGGGCCTTCAGGAATTGAGACCTTAGGGGGAGAGCATTAGGTTAATGAGGCATGCCCCTAAAGGGATTATGGGATCCCACCTCATGTCTTCCTCTGTTGTATTTCTTGGCTCGGGCTCTATTCGCTCTGCCATGTGCTACTGCCACAACCTGGATGTACCCCAATGCTTGCCAGAGATTCAAAATAAGGGGTCACCTGTCCTTGGACTGGAACCTTCAAAACCATGAGCCAAAATAAGCCTTTTCGAGATGTCCTGCCTGAAGCACGTCATTACAGAGATGAAACGCTGTCCAACACAAACAGTAATTACCCCTTGTACTACTCCAGGTGACAAGAAATACCTCCAAAGGCAAGGGAACTCCTGGGTCATCCCCAAATCAGATTCTTCTGCTCACACTTAACAGCCAGCCTGACACCCCATGACAGAATTCAACCACCGCCACCATCCAGTCCTATATTCTGTGCCTGCTCTCACCTGGTCAGACTTCATTACCCTGACAGCTGGGAGAGCTCTTGGCCATGAAAGCCCTGCTTAATTTGTCTTGAGACCCATTTCATTTCAAAAGAAAACGTGCACAGCACAGGGTCCCAAGACTTCTGAGAAAGAATGTCCAATAATCTCCTCAGAATCTTCCATCTCAAACGCCTGGGTGGATCTTTGTCCAAACATCCTATTGTCTGCGAGGCTCACACAATGCTTCACTCTGTGTTCCCAGGCAGCAGAAGAAACAAGTTACTGTTTCAGCTCCTCCGACTTACACTGGGATTAACTTCAAATAACAAAGGAGTTTCATGCAAATTAGAATCATCTAGAAACATAGCCCAGCATAAGCTACATAAAATCGCCTCAATATCTATTTTTTCTAAGTTCTTTTCAAAGTTGACCATTAACACTCTCACTTCTCCCTTCGTGAACCAGGAAGGGAGCACAGAGGCCCCGCCCCCTACACACCTGTCTGTGCTTGCCTCCAGACCCAGTGTAGCTCAGTGGCGGCAGGTGGATCTGTGCCAGGTAAATCCCTGCTGTAAGCAGGGGTTATTTTTAGGCCAGTGGCGGCTCTGATTCCTGAGCTGCCCCTAGATAACTGAGAGACAGTCTACAGTGAGAAACCCTTCAGAAGACCCAGCTACCACAAGTATCTCCTACAGGCTCCGAAAAAGAACACTCCGAGGACAGCCAGCTTGGATGACAGCCATAGCTAACCTCCCTCTGCCCTCAGCCAGCCAGACCTGAGGCTGGGCCTCCATTCCAAATGTGCAAACAGTGCCCAGAATTTCATCAAAGCTCAAAGAGTCCTGACTCTTGGATAGAGATTTCTTAGCTAGATGCCAGAAAATTTAGAATTCACTGATGTGATCCTGTTGTTGAAATGTCTATTATTATCGATGCTGAGATTTCAGATTTGTAGAACAGCCATGGAAAGGGATATTGGAAAAAGAAAGTTCAAAGGCCATCCTTCAAAAAAAGAAGAGCGTACCAAGACAGCTGTGGTAAGTTATCCAACCACTGCACTATTTAAAACCGCACGCTTTATCACTGGTAATTAGAAAAGGCCTTCTAGAAAACTAAGCTCACTGCTATACCTCTCCAGACAACCGCCATGATGAGATGAAGTACAGAAGCTGAACCAACGCTAACTTGGGGCTGGCTCTTCCATCGAACTGCTACAATGAAGGAGAGAAAGAGCATCAGACCCAGATCAGGCAAGGCAATGCACACTTGCAACTCCCAGCACGTGAAGAGGCTGAAGCACAATTGAATTCCAGGCCAGCCTGGACTACACCACCCCCGAAACAAAAACAAAATCAAATGCACAAAAAAGAAACCCACTACTACACTCAAACTGGAGCTCATTTAAATACCTTTATTTTTCACTTGTTTTCCATATGTAAGTATGTGTGTGTGTATGTGTGTGTGTGTGTTTTGTCTATGTGTATGCCTATGTACTGTGTGTGTGTGTGTGTGTGTGTGTGTGTGTGTGTGTGTGTGTGTGTGTGTGTGTGTGTGTTGGCCTTGAGGGACAGAAAGAGGTACTAGAGTCGGGCGGTGGTGACACACACCTTTAATCCCAGCACTCGGGAGGCAGAGGCAGGCGGATCTCTGAGTTCGAGGCCAGCCTGGGCTACAGAGTGAGATCCAGGATAGGTGCAAAGCTACACAGAGAAACCCTGTTTCTCGAAAACCTGTTAGCTCGAAAAACCAAAAGAAAAGAAAAAAGAAAGAAAGAAAGAGGTATTAGATTCCCTAGACTGGAGTTACACACAGTTGTGAACCTCCATGTGGATGCTGGGAATTGAACACAGTCCTCTGGAAGAGCAGTCAGTGCTCTTAACTGCTGAGCCATCTCTCCAGCCTGGGGACTAAATAGCTTAACTTAAAATTTCTTAGGCCATAGATTCCAATATACGGAGAGGGTATATTTCACCTTGTGTCTTCCTCCAAGGACAGTTGGACATATCAGAGTTGATCTCCTCTTTATTCCTTACCTGGGTTTTTTATAAAGAACTTCGATAACATTTCTGGACAACCCCCAAGTCTATAGCATCAGAAATACTGTCTTAGAGCAATGGCTCGGGTTGAGCCTTTGCTTCTGGGAGCCTGGCACTGAAGCTGGCACATCTCTGCTGTCCGGGTGCTCCCTCCCCCTCCCGTGCTGGGGTTTTCTACAGACTGCTAAACTGGGGGGGTGTTCTGGGGAGAACAAAGGAATTGTGGGCCTCAGGAAGGAGAACGCCCAGCCAAGTTCACTCCCTTCTCATGGCCTCACTGCTGGCTACTTTTTGCAACTCTTAAATGAGAGTAGGAAGAGGGAACTGCTGTTATCTGAGAATTCGGCCTTGAGAAGACATGGAGGAACAGATGATGTAATGGTTTATGAAGCAAAAATATTTAAAATGTATGCTGTGGGGCTTATGAGAGCAATTTGGAAATTCTTAGAAATATATATATCAAGTCAACAAAATCCATTCTAAGGGTTTAACTCAAAGCCTTCAGCACCATGAAAACGGCCCTAGGGTTTAGCTCCTAGTTAGTTGACAGCCTTTAATGTCACTTGATAAGCTAAGCAGAAGTCAATCAAAATGTAGAACTCATAATTACTCTTGGCAATAAATCCTCAACAGAATGCTGAAAGGCAATCTCAGTTGTGGTCAGTATGGAAACCAAAGCCAGGGCCACACCACCCCTAATCTTACACATCTGTGGGACCTGGGGACATGAGGGTCAGCTCAGAATTCAAAGACAGATGAAGGCAGGCAGTAAGGATTCTCACTTAAGGATAGAAGAGAAATGAGGTACATTAAACTCAGTTGCTATCTAGAATTCTAAGCACTCCCCCCACCCTATGTTTTTGTTTGTTTGTTTTGTTTCTCGAGACAGAGTTTCACTGTGTAACAGCCCTGGCTGTCTTGGAACTCACTCTGTAGACCAAGCTGGCCTTGAACTCAGAGATCCCTCTGCCTCTGCCGCCCGAGTGCTGGGATTAAAGGACCACCACCACCTGACTCACCCCCCCCTTTTAAATAAATAATCCACACATGTCTTTTTCCAAATGATTCTGATCCTGTAAAAAAGATTTTATATCAGAACTGATTAACATTTCTCCTTTGGGGTACTAATTTCTTATTAGCTGTCAGAGGTGAGCTGGCCTTGAGAGTCTTGTGGGTTTGTTAAGAGTAACAAACCCTTCCCCAATTCTGTATGCTTGTGATATGCAGCCCAGACTGGTCTGGATCTTGATGTGTGATCGCCCTGCTCCAGTATCCTACGTGCTGAGATAACATGTGTGCCGCAATGCAACCAGCTTCGTTCGCCACCATTATATAAATGAGTAGTTGTTTCTTTTGGTTTTTATGTTCAAAATCCAAACCTAGTCAGTAATTTCCCTAGAACTATTCTCTTAATATAAGGGACTTCCAAGAGAGAGAGATCAACCTTATGTCGCTTTGCCACACTGAAGAGCCTCCGACTAGGAAGCCGCACTATAGCACTCAGAACAGTCCGGGAGAAGCTGAATGGCTTCCGGACTCAGGCAGCAATTTACACAGCAGTCCTGCCCGTTTCCTCATCCCTGTCACAGAGGAGCCTTTCTCGACAGTAGCGTTCATTCAGTCAACAAATATTTCTTAATCTTCTACGCGCCAGCTGCTTGACCAGGACTGGGGACACAGTGGTGAATAAGGCGCCTTCGTGGAGGTTAAAATAAATAAAATAAATAAAATAAAACCAGTAAGCAAATCAAGAAAGTATAAGGAAATAGTTACCCAAACTGGACGGGTGGATGTGACCCAGCGCCCAGGGTACCTCAAAGGACCTTCAAGCTATGCTTGTGGGGAGGGCAGTCAGGATGGTGCACTGAGGATGAGGAAGCAAAGTGAGTCCTTCCAGCCTTTTACATCTCAGTGTACTCATGAAATGTTCCCTCCTGGACTCTAGAGGGGCAACACAGGAATACCAGCTTTTAAGCCACCATCAAGGGCATGCCAGACCAAACCCAATCACTATCCCGTTATAAAGGACACAAAATGGAGCGCACAGCCGCAGATAAAAAGCAGTCCTTTAGCTTGGGTTCTGTAAACACTGACCTACAAAAACCTAAGCACACTGTAAATCCGCATCAGCCATCCTGGTAAACACTTTGCTGCCAAACACCCTTGGCTCACCGATCTGCATCTGGAACCCCTGAGCAAAAAGTAAAAGAATGGTAGAGAGCTATGATGAGGGGTAATCTCCCACCCTCGAGAGACAGACACAAAGGCAAGGGTCCGTGTAGGGGGAAGGTGCCCTGCAGAGACGGGGGCCCGTGCAGAGAGGGGGGTCCGAACAGAGAGGAGGGTCCGAACAGAGAGGGGGGGCCGAACAGAGGGGGGGGGGCGAGCAGAGAGGGGGGTCCGTGCAGGAGGGGGGTCCGTGCAGAGAGGGGGGTCCGAACAGAGAGGGAAGCTTGTACAGAGGAGGAGGTATGCAGAGAACGGGGCGTGCAGAGGGAGGGGCTTATGTGATTGAATTACGTGTTCTCTACTAGAGGGACAAACTGGATATTTGTGAGCAAGCTGTGTTATAGAAAAAATTAAGTTCTATATGGGAAAATCATAATGTGTGTTAAATCTGATTCTGTAGTTGCTAGAATGGCAAGAGATGGAAGAGCCAGACATGTGAGCACGGTCAGGAGTTGGGAGTTCCAGAGGCAAGGTAACGAAGCTTAATGACAGCAGGTGAGCACCGAACTCAGGAGACACCTGCAACAGAAGTCCATACAGACCCAGAACTCAGCCACACCAATTTTGGAAGTCACCCACCTCAAATGTGCTGTTCTGTACCTTTATATTTTCATGAACAAAATAAAAATAATTTAAAAAAAAAAAAAGCCTTCCTAATACAGCTCACAAGTATTGTGGAATGAGCCTGAAATATGATCCAAAGTCTTTGAATGTCAGAAACGCTTAGAAAGGGTTGGGTAAACACAGTGTTCAGCATATTAAGGGACTGACAGGCAGGACACTCTCTGACACACTGTCAATCTACTCATCTGCCCATAGGCAGCCGCATGTGGTGGGGGAATCAGCAGACCTCTTCCACAGATGACATCCGTGCATAGCGCCTCCAAGTCCACAAAGCAGTCTCGCACCAGTGGTCCCTCAGATGGACAAATCACATGACAGTCACCTTCCTCAATCCTCCTCCCCTCCTAAGAAGTGTTAAACCAGACATAAAGAGTTAATAAATGGAAGCCATAGACAGTAAATCTAGTTGAAATGTGAGTCACTTTTTAAAGGAGTCTTGCTGCTGTCTAGGATGGCCTTGAACTCCTGGACTCAAGCCATCCTCCTACATAAGCTTCCTGAGTAGCTGGGACCATAGGCATTTAACCCTTACATCCTCTTAAATATGTAATCATCTCTTTCCACTAACATTTGATTAAATCTATGTACATGGCCACAGACCCCAAAGCCATCTGGATATGGCAGGCAGCTGTTCCTCGTGGGGTTACCAAACTGACTATGTATCTGCATTATGCTAGGAAGCCAAAATGATCTTGGCCTCTTTTTCCTCTTTTATAAAACGTGACAACACAGGATCAGCCCATCTCATAGCACTGTTCTGGAGCTAAATAAAGTTTTTGAAAACTTTTTGGCAAATGGTTAGCTACTACTGTTATTTTTTTTGTTTTGTTTTGTTTTTGTTTTTCAAGACAGGGTTTCTCTGTGCAGTTTTGCACCTTTCCTGGAACTCACTTTGTAGACCAGGCTGGCCTCGAACTCACAGAGATACCCCTGGCTCTGCCTCCCAAATGCTGGGATTAAAGGCGTGCGCCACCACCGCCCTGCTAACAAACTTCATTATTAACCTCACGTTACTGATGACCAAAGCCCAACAACTTGTTTATCTGGCCAACAGAACTTTCTAGAGTAGGGAAGGTGTTTTAAGTCCTCATTATGTGTTGGTTACAGAAGTATGTATTTAACAAAGGTAATAACTGTATACTTAAGCTAGGGGAATTTCACTTCATGGTACCAAAAAATTTTTTTTTTCTGGAGAGATAGGGTCTTGCTATGTAGCCCAGGCTGGATCTAAAATTCAACCTCAGATCTTTCTGCCTCAGTCTCGAGTGACAGGATTATAGGTGTACACCATCATGCCCAATCATTGGGTACTTTTAATAAGCAGCAGTATATTTCTGAAACATAGCTACTACTTCATATTGGGACCAACAGATTGGGTTTTTTTTTTTCCTTAGTTCTTATTTTGTCATCTACTTTCCAATTCATCCTTCCTACCCACTTGAAACACTTGAACTACAACTGTTCTCTGTTTCTAAGCTTTACTGCTCCAGCCTGGTTATTTCCACCTTGACCGCCCTAGAGCCAGAGCCTGA